ATACACACTCTCGATGAATTCTCTTTCTCCCCCGGTATCCCCCACGTACACGCACGATACAACGATCCGCGCGCACACACGAAGATACCGTAGAGAGGAAAGGGGTGGTTGGTGGATGGAGGATTAGCGGGTGGAACGAATAGAAGGCGGGTGAGCAACGTAACGTTACGGTCCGTTCTGGCGGGGCCCCATTCAAACGTATTCTAGCGGCGAGGCGCGCATATTTTCCACCCCTTCCTCGAGGTAGGCTAATCGAAACCGGCGCTCGCTCGCTTGCTTGCTTGCTCGCTCGCTCGCCTGCGTACGCACGTGACGTCTCTACGAGCAAACCGCAAACACCCGACTGTACCTGGCCGTAGGAATGCGGTATAACGCGCAATTAGGCATACCTAGGACATCCACGCATCCCAGCTGGCTCAACATAGGCTCCGTATTCAGTTGGCACATGTAGCAGCCTCGGTCAGCTTCTCGGAGCTGGCGAATATGAAGCCGCGAAGTGGCCTCCTCCTCCTCCTCCTCCCTCGATTGACTCTGATTCTTCGCCGTCTTCGCGTTCTCCAGCGTGACGAGAAATCGGGGCGAGTGTGTCACCGTTCGCGGACCCATCGACAATATCGTCTTATCCTCCACTCGTATCCATCCCACCTGAGACACAGCCAACACAGCCATTTTATCAGTTGCCTTTTTCTTTTCTTTTTTTATCATCCCTCGCGTATTCGCGAAACAATCAACTGCTCTCGCCTACCTAATTGCGTTAATATTAGCCGTCCTCTCTACATCTGTGTACGATATTCCAGTTCCCGGATAAACGCACACGTTCGACCGCCCCCACATGCACGCGGCTAATTATATCGACGTATGCGGAGATAATTAAATAACTGGCGATAAAGCGGACGGACCACTTGAAAGTCTAACGACGTAAACAATTTCCCCGGTAATTCGAACATCGTCTATTCGTGGTCGGACGAAACGTGGTCGCCGACGCACGCCACTCTTTTTTTTTCCTTTTCTCGCCGCAAGAACCTTTCGTGCCCGCGAAGCGTCGTAGTACAGAGGCGAGAACGTCCGTGGCCGTGTCGGGATTAACCGGATTAACGGAAGATAACACCTTCCAGCAAGAGTCTAGAGGAGAGCGAATGGAGGGACAGCTCGAGTCAATATTATATCGCGCGTATATACCAGCCTTGTGTCTTGCCGTGTGTTTATGTGCACCGACGTACTATATCCAGGGCCGATACGTGCTCGCACGTATGGCCGGCACCAGTAATTGCTTTTAGGCAAGCTCGAAGCTGGCGGAGCCATTGGCACCGCACGAATCAACCTGACGAAAGGTTCCATTTAACGTCGTATCGCGCACCAGCCCCTCGGCCCGCTGCTCCCGCATCTCCTACGCGTTATCTATAACGCTGCACTTGGTAATTAATTAATCCGAAGTGACTGTCGATGCACATCCCGTATGTGCGCCCGTATGCGTCGAGAAAAAAACACCGATCATTCGTACGCGCGCGCCGACCTCGTGTTCCCAACGGGAGAACCCCTAAGGCTCCAAGGAATTTCTCTTCTCTACCTTGTACCTACTACCACCACGACTATCGGTTTACGACAGCCACCTTCTACACGTACTTGCTACAACACGTTTCCTCTGTCCGCCGTGTCCTTTTCGCGTCGAAATTATCCCGCTTCTTCGAGAGGGTACGGAGGAAGGTGGATCGGTGAATAGGAAATTGAGAGGAATCGCGCGCGGGCGGGTGCGCGACTCGGTTCCACCGGCAATTACCAGTCTAATTAGATAGCTAGGCGTTTTCTCGAGGAACGCTTTCTCGGGATGGTAGCCGGGTGGGTCCGACGTCGGAACACGGAAGGCTTTGTCGGGGATAATCCATGGAGACCGGGATAAGGTATCGCCGTGCTTTTGACCGGTCTAGATAAGAAAGGAATAAGTGTGGAAAGGGTGATCGGTCGCGTTTGAATTCTTTCGTTCGCAGAGGACAATCGATAATGTTTTAAGTACTTTGTCACCGGGGGAACAACAGTTTGTCCCGCGCAGAACGAGAACGAGAACTGTTACGTCGCCTGCAGGCTCGTTATCTCCACGACAAAGATAACGATTCTTTCGATGCTATCGACTATTCCACCCTCTCTCTCTCTCTCTCTACTTCCTCCATCGCCAGCGTCGAAACGAACTTCTTATCCGATAAAAAGTTCCCCGAACCCTACCGCCGCCGATCGGATACTCGGGACCTCTGTATTTTGCATAATTTCCAGCTGCATACGATCTATCGGAGATAATCGAGGAGCATGTGTTCTCGTCATCTTCGAAAATAGTTCGAATTGGAAAGTTGGAGGAGAGCTCGAGTTAGCAAATTGCATCCAGAACGGGCGACGACTGGTACCCACGTTTTCATTCTTGCTGCACGCCGCGCCGGACCACCGGGAAGGGAACCGATTGCGAGATTTAGCTAGATTTAGCTAGATTTAGCGAGATTTCGACGGCTGACACACATTATCCGCAGAGTTACGAAATTCCCCGGTGGGCACACGGCCGGGGCACCGGTACCCCTCCCGCCGGTGTAATATTTCGAGAGACCCTGGGCCACGAATCTACGTTAGCGCTAAGAGATTGCTCCCCATACCCTTTTCCTAGGCAAGCAGCCTCCGTCCCTTTTCCTCTTCCGTTCCATTGTAATCATGGAAACAATCATTCTTCGCTCTCCTTCCCTCCGATGCTTCTTCGTTCTAACCTCCGCGATCCCGCTCTCTCTCCAAAACTCAAGCCTATCCTCCCCCGCAGTCACCCTCTCTCTATCTGTATCCGTCCGTTCTCTTTTCGCCTCCATCGCGGATTTCGGGCTGAAACCCCTGTCTTCGTTGCACCAGCAAGGTGGCGTGCGGTTCCATCGGCGGAGGCAGCGGTGGTGGTAGTAGCGAGCGATGCTGATGGTGTGGCGAGCTACCCTTTCGCTCGCCTCCGCAGCAATCACCGATTTGTCTGAATAAGCCCCGGGCAAGTATATGCTCGTGCTTACCCCGGGGAAACACCACTCTCTCTTCGCCCTCCTCCCGATTCACCGCCCGAAACGGCGTTCCCTCGACATCAGCCCTCTGTACTCTCTCTCTCTCTCTATATTCTGCTTCCCACACCCTCGATCGGGGCCTGGCAGCGACTCCATACCCGAAAATACTCCGGTTCATCGATGCTTGATGGGAGGCAGCTCGAGGAGAAGGGGGAGAGGAAGGTAGCGAGTTGGCAAAGTCGTGGCCGACGTCGAGACGAGACTTGGGCGTTAATCAGAAATGGAACGCGAGTGGATGGAAAGGCGCAAGTGAATCCACGCGAAATGATCGGATAAACGAGAGACAGGATGATCAGGTTTCGGGTGTTTCGCGTGACGGAAAGATAACGCGATTTAGAACGAATCGGGTACGAAGGAGGAAACCGATCGTTTCAAGCGCGGAAGCCAAGGGAAAATCTCTACGATTAGCCCACTCGCATTAAGGACAATCGAATTGGCCGTCGATTGAAAAAGGTCGATTGGCGCGGCGTGGTGTGGCAGTGAGACGCGACTGAACGAAAAGTGAACGAGGATAAATCTACTCCAGGCTGGAACTATCCAAGGGGACAGAGTTATCGAAGTGAAAGTTCCGTATCCGTGAATGAAACGGAAAACCGAGTCGATCGTTTTTGCGGTTCTTTCATAACGTGAAAGCTCGATTCGTACAAAACGAACCAACGACGACGACGACGAGTCGACTGACGGCAATTAAACTTCCACCATCTTCGTCCCCCCCGGGGCAAACCACCACCGCCACCGTGGAGAATCTCGACCGTTCTTCTCGCGGCTTTTTCTATGCTAATTTATTTTATTTAGCTGGCAAACGTCGCGTCACACTCCCGGAAGATTGATCGTCATCGAAATCCTCCGGAGGAGGAAATTGAACGAACGTTAAAACGAATTAGCGTCCTTTTTCCACCCGGCGCGGCACCGAAACTAATTTATTTTTCACGCGTCATTTTCCGCCAACGTACCGCAAAATTCGAATCATTAGCTCGGATGATGCGTTAATCGAACGTGACCAACGTGCTCGACGGTCGGGCGGCGGAATCAATTTATTTAACACACGTTTCCGCGATCTCCGCGAAGATCGGTCACTTCGATTCTCGTCCCAACGACGCGACCAATTCTATTTCCCTCCAAGGAGCCCGATCAGCCTTTCCTCGTATTTCTCCGCTTTTTACGAGTTTTTTATGCGAAAACGTATAGACGGAGGGAGGATTTTGTCGGCTATAAATAAGGGAATAAGAACGATTCTGATTACAATCACGCCGCCGAAACGGTCGACCTTCGATCTCTCTCTCTCTCTCTCTCCTCCTCTCTTTTTATTTTCTGCTCGTTTACCGACGTCGTGTTCGCCACCTCCGCCTTTTCCCCGTACCCGAGACGTGGTTGATCTAGGGGGGGAAGGAAAATCAGCCAAACAGGAAATATCCAACGAGTTTCGATCGGAACGTGTCCAATTTATAGCAGGTTCGAGAGCGCGCCCGTGGTATCCATGGTTATCGGTTTACCATCTCGTGCCGCTTCAAACGTTTCTCATTTATATTTCACGCTAGAGGCTGCATAATATTTGCCCCGGTCGATACAAAAAGATGCTCGCCGGTCCCTTTATGAATTCACCACGCGAGAAACGCTATCCAAATATGTCCGATGGAGTTTCAGAAGCCATAAATCTTCTACTTTTCGCCAGACGTCTTTTCCACCCTGGAGTACAAGAGAATCGCTTTGAAGTCGCACACTCGTTCCGAATTTCTCGTTGCTGCTGCTACTGCTGCTGCTGCTTTTGCTGCTGCTGCATCTGCCACCGCAAATGACTGCGTTCGACGATCAGTATCCTCGCGACGTAGCCTCATAGGTCTTCAGAGAGAAACGTCTCTTCCCATTTTTTTCTTGATCCAGCTTTGAGAAAGCCGGAATAAAGATGGGAAGGATAGGAAGCGAGACGGAGAGAGAGTTTGGCTGGTTGCGTCTCGCCGATTCGCCTCGTTTTACTTCCTCGAAATAGTGTCGCGTACGCTAAAAGCTCCCGGACTCGTCTCGGGGCTTCTTCTTTTTCTTCTTCTTGCCAGACAGAGCCCCACGGCTTTAGAAAAATCGGTCGGGACTAGTGCGACGGAGGATAAGAAAACACGGGTGGGGAACTCTGGCAGAGTAAATAGGAAAAGAACCAGCTGGAACAAGCCTTTATCGATTTCATTCATTACGTTTCGCTATCTGTTTACGTGCGTGTTATCCCAGGAATACGAATCAGCGACAAATGCTCCTTTTGTCGTCAATTTCTCTCCCTTCGTCCTCCTCTCGTTCCCCTCGCCGCGAGATCTAACGTCCGGTTCGCGTTGAAGAACGGATCGATCGTCTAGGTTCCGTGATCCGCAGCCTTCGACTCGCGAAGCCTCCACGTGAAATTCCTTTCTGAATTTTGTAAAGCGCGGCCCACGGCAAATCCCCGTTATATATTCATGAACGGTTAACTGCGGTTTCACGGGAGAAAGCCGCGGTATGAAAGAAACGGAGAGGGCGGAGTGAAACGTTCTTGGGAAAATAGAGGCGTCTTAAATTCGCGCG